CAGTGTCCTCACTTCCTATACACTGTATTGGACGGGGTCCTTAGACTGCCAGCGTGTGCCCTGGTGACAGTGTCAAAAAACAAAGTAAAGGCAACAAAAACATTTTACAGTTGTTACTGAAACAGGGTTAGAGGGAACTCTCTCAGGTTCTCATCTAACCGTTGAATGGGCTGGTAACGCACCTCAATGGCACAGAAAATCAGACCTGCATCTTTTTGTGGAAGGCCAACACACATTAGTGCATTGCCGCGTGTTGCACTGCACTGCAAAGCCCCTGCATCAAAAAGGTGCTTTGTGGTGCCATTCAGAATGAATGGCTCTGCATCGCACCATTGCAAGTAGGTAAGAGTGTCATGCGTCGGGATAACGCGCTTGTTCCCACAACGCAATAATGTGAACAAGGCCTCAATCTCAGTACCTGTTACGGTGACAGTTGTCAAGGACAACTCTCCTATAACCACCTTTTTGTGTCTTTGGGACAGGAAGTGAGAAAAATTTCCCCAGAAAGGACAAAAAATGCAATTCGGCCCTAAAAGGGCTTCTAATACTTCCCCACTCTATCAAGGTATATCATCTGTCAGGTGTATCATTGTAATAAGGAGTTCCCCAAATCTAGTCTCACAGCAAACCTAGGTGAGACGTTCTATAGCAGCTAACTTCCACTATTGGTAGAATGCTGCTCACTACATGATTTTGATTGCAAAGTATGGAATAGAATGCTGCAATTTACATAGTTACATATTATTTGAGGTTGAATTAAGACACAGGTCCATCGAGTTCAACATTTATGTGTAAGTGTGTGTGTAGTGTGTGCATGTCTGTATATGAGTCCCTGTGTCGTCTTAGGTTTTAAGAGTACCTGTACCCCTGTATGTTACGGTCTCTGAGGACGGTATCTAATTGATTTTTGAATGATTCAATACTCTCTGCTGCTACCATTGCTTGTGGCAGCGAGTTCCAAAATGTAACCACTCTGACTGAAAAGAAACCCCTACACCCTTTGTGGTTGAATCTTTTCTCCACCAATTTTAGGTGGTGGCCTCTGGTCCTTGTTAGAGAGTTTAGAGTAAAAAGTTTATTGCTGATGTTGCCATCACCACCAAACATTTTCTGCATTAAAAATCATGTCCCCTCTTAATCGCCTCACTTCCAGCATGAACAAGTCTAAATTTAGTAACCTTATCTCATAGCTTTGTTCCTCTAGCCCCTTAATTAGTGTTGTTGCCCTTCTCTGGACTCTCTCCAGCTCCAGGACATTCTTTCTGTGGATTGGTGACCAAAACTGAACCGCATACTCCAAATGATTCCGAACCAGCAATCTATAAAGTGGCAAGATTATCGCTTTGTCTCTACAGTACATTACCTTTTTAATACAAGACAGTACTCTGCTCGCTTTGTTTGCCGCAGCCTGGCATTGCAAGCTGTTATCCAGTTTGTGGTCTACAATGACCCCCAAATCTTTTTCTAATTCTACCTTCCCTAGACGAGCATCTATTAAAGGAGAACTATGGGGTTAGGGCTTTTCCCCATAGTTCTCCTAAGGGTAACGGGAGGACACAAACTAGCGTCCTCCCGTCACCCTAAGCTCTGTATACTTAGACGCCGCAGCCGGAACGGATCCCGACAATTCTGTCTGGATCCACCCAGCTGCGTGAGTGACAGCTGGCTCTGCCTATCTAGAGGCAGTGCCAGCTGTACCTGCCCCCTCCCCCGTCTGTTCGTGTCAGCGCTGGAGGATCGGACAGGGGAGGGGGGGGGAATCCCTGCAGGGCGCCGTGAGTGACAGTCACGGCTCTCTGCACGGATAGATCGAGAAGTGAGCGAGCGCCGGTATGTGTTCGCTCACTTCCCGATCTACTGAGCGAAAATCACTCGCCTCATAATTCTCCTTTTAATGTGTATTCCGCTTGCCTTTTTTTAACCCCAATCTGCATTACTTTACATTTTTCAACATTAAACCGCATCTGCCACACAGTCGCCCACTCCCCTATTTTATTCAGGTCCTCCTGTAGTTCTGCTCTCCCCAGACTTTCAGGTTGGATTTACCTCAGCAGCCTCCAAGTGACATAATAATGGAAACAGCTGGAAACGCCATCTCATTTAGCAGGAACTTATTATGAAGGAAAATAATAACGCTCTCATTTTCTGGCACTCCCTTGTACTGGAGAAGATGAGCAGGTCTGTGGGAGGGAGAGATAATAAGGGAGAACTTGGATGAAATGTTGATAAACACAAGCGAACAAGTGAAAATGATGAGGGAAGATACAGTGGATTTAGAAGAAAGGTCAGAGCGGATGATAAATACATTTATTAATTACTGCGCCGGTACAGGGGGAAAGTGTTGTAGAGAGTGTTCATCAGCTGAATGGATTTCAAAATGTGCTGAGGTGAATCATTCATTAGTGTAATAGTTGTACTGCAGATACCTTATGTAGCATGGCATTGCTCAGCCCTGTGATTTTACTGGAATAGTAAACACTATTTAAGGAGGACCGGACTTCCGGGGAAGGCAACCTTGGCCCTCCTGCTGTTGTGGAACTACAAGTCCCATAAAGTATTGCAAGGCTCTGACAGCCGCAGGCAGGGTCAGAGTTTTCCTACCCCTGCTATAGACTTTTCCCATGGTTCTTATATATTTATATGTCAACGTGATCAGCATAATGTTAGCAATCTTTTTCCTGGGGGTTAAAGTATGTCTAAACCTAATCATAAAAATCTCAAACAGGCTTTAAAACTGAACTCCAGGCGGGTATAAAAAGCAGAAATTAACACAGCTCTGTATTCATTAAGACATCTTTAAATTGTTTGTTTGTTTGTTTTTTAAATGCAAGCAATGTAAGTACCTGAATATGACACGGTATCAGCCTCTTGCAATCACTGTACCACAGAGCTCAGAATAGGGGAGAGAGAAGCAGCACAAGGAGCCAATCTGCTTTGCTGCAGTGCAAGGAACATTCTGAGAGCAGGAGAGATCAGAGTGACAGAGAGATAAGCTTATCAGTCTGCTGCTTCTATGTTCACTGTCCACTCACAGGGTGGGGTGGGGTGGGATGGAGACCTGTAAGTTTTACTGAACCGCAGCAGAGAAAAATCAGGTCTCCCCTCCGGCCAGACAGGGTTTTGGGGTTTTGCACAGCTGTGTAAATCTCAGAAATGGATAGACAGAGATACAAATCCTTTGAAAAGTAAAACAGCTCCATTATATGTATTGCATCTGTGCATTTAGCTGATTGTCTGGAGTTCGGCTTTATCAGTCTGCTGCTTCTATGTTCACTGTCCACTCACAGGGTGGGGTGGGGTGGGATGGAGACCTAATGATGGAGATGTAATTTAAAGAGTTCCCATGCTTTTCAAATCTGCAGCTTTTGTTTAAAAAAACAGGTAGTGCCCGAACAAGAACCTTGCACCCGTTACAAGGTGACAGCTCTCCCAATTGTACTCCTGCGTTGTCACGCTGTCACATGCACTCTGGGGAAGATTATTAGTAGCTGTCCAGGCAAACATTGCACAGGTATGGTCCACCATTGATCAGGACTCGAGTCCAGAGCAATGATTTGCAGCCACTGCTGGAGTGCATGCATGTAGACTGGAAGGAGCTGAAAGAGGCTGGAGGAGATCAGCAGCACTGAGATGGGGAAGAGATTATAAAAAAGGACCAATTTTTTATTCCACAAAGTGACTTAGCAAAGTGAGTTTCCTGTTAGGGTTTAATTTCATCACAACAGCATGCAGTGCCCATGTAAGAGCACCCTGAACGACACAGTGCTCCGGTGTGACAGGGGATCACAGGGAAGGTGCATATCACTGGTAGGGGTTGCCCTAATGAGAAAACATGTAACTTCGCCCTGAATAAGCAAGGTGACAGATTATTTCTAAAGCCTAAACTTCAGTCTAGCACAGTTGTACAGGTTCCCTTCTTGTACTGAAATGCTTACTGTAGCCCTGTCTTCCCCAGCTTAACTGTCCCTGGCCCACCTTTTTCATTCACTGAATTTCAGATCTTTCAATCATTAAACCTCAGCATCATATGTGGGAATTACCTGGGGTGGTCTACATGTAAATGCAGCCTGCCTAGAAACCCCACTCCTCCAGAATAACATCCAGCTATCAAGGCATTTTGTTTTATTTACATCATTCGTCTCAAGAACCAGCCCACTGTATGCATCAGGGTTGAGGACACTCTTAAGGGCTAGTTCACACCAAGTGCGGAGCAGATACAGAGCAGAGCAGTTACAGAACGCATCAATACTGCATCCAATGTGTTCCAATGGTATTTTGGGGTCTATTTCACACCAGAGCGTTCTGTTCAAGAATATGTGGAAAGACTGCAGCATGCCATATTTTTTCTGCTCTGGAATGCACCAAAATGTATGCAAACGCATAAAAAATGCATGCAAATGCCCTGGAATGCACTGAAAGCCCATTTTAGGCTAAAAAAAAACCGGCCCGGAGCGCTGCAGCAATGCGGCAAACGCATGCAGATCTGGTCTGCACAAGCCCTAAGTGGAATACTGAGCAAAGTGCTGTAATATTTTCAGGAAGCAATACCAGGTCCTCCCATCAGCCATGACCTGCTGTTATTGTATAGAGACGCACAGAGAACCAGTGGTGACATAACTGGGTCTACCATAAGGTATGCAATGAAAACTGAAAGCATGATCATGTTGATGAGGTTGGGATAAGAGGAACCAGGGAAGGCAAGCTTCAGCTTTAAGTAGTTTTCTCCTCACCAACCGAGCTGGTTAAGCACCAAAAACACTGGAAGAACTTTAGCAGTTCCCCAATAACAGATATGTAGTTTTACAAAGAAAAATGAAATAAAATATAACATTTTCCAGAAAAATGTAAGGTCAGAGCAGGTGAACTCTTCTGCTCCAAGCACATTTCTCCTAGTTCAGAAAATAGAAATACTGCAGCTCAGTAAACACTTGAAATGCAAGTGACATGAGACGAAAATGTTTGACCACGATGACTGATCTTGACTGTCCTTCAGTGCGGTCATGACACTCAGCGCTCATCTCGGTGGGCTCCAAGGCCCCGTGTACCCACATAGATGAAGAAATCACAGGATCTTGAGCCATCTCATGCTGGCATTTTTCCCACCAGCTGCATTGATCCCTTCAGTTTTTATACGAGTTGCAGCTACTGGAAATAGATTTTTCTCTTTCGCCTTGATTGGGGTCAGGTCTAGATGAACTTTCCTTTCATCCTTCAGGCTCAGAAAGTGAAAGTTAAAGAAATGCTAATTTTATTTTTAAGAAACACGGCCTTGAAAAAGGTCAGAAATAGCTTTGCTGCAGGACTGGAATCCATCTTGGGTCAAAGGGTTACCAGTACTTATATTTGAGTTAACAAAAAGAAATATCTGAACTAAGAAACTTGTTGCAGGAAACTTAAGTGAAAAAGCGTAATTAGTGCAGTGAATGTAGATGTTTTATCCCTCTGTAGGTACATTGGGAATTGAAGAAGAAATTAGCATGTTGTGCCAAATGTTAGTTATTTATTGGTGGGAAAATTGCTTCTAATATCATTAACTTATGATTTTGTCTCTCGCTTAGGCTTGATTACTGCAGCAATAAATGGAATAAACAACAAGGTAACTGGAGGCTGGAATAGGAAACAAGACCCAACTCCCACTACAGTTGTAGGAGATCTAGAAGGAGAGATACCTTTTATCACAACAGCACCTACTATGACTTTGCTGAACCACCACCCACTACTGGAAGGAATACTCCATGAAAGCATCATGAAAAAGGACTTCCAGCACCTACCGCCCTACTTTGCCAGGACCAAACAATCACAGGACAATAGTGAGTTGCATGATAAATTGTCAGAACGCAAAACAAGGGTTAACCTGGCTCATCCGGACAATGCTCCAATATTCCATGCGGATTTTTCTACTCCCACAATGCCACTTTTTCCATCCACAATGATAATGGATACTACATCTGTGGTTACTGAAAATCAAAAAGGCTTTGCTGAAGTACTGGAAACTGTCTCATTGGTACCAGTAGTAGATTCATTACCAACTTCTGATGCTCATTTTATACTTCAGACTGATAAGAGCAAAGTTGACTATGGTCCCCAGCAAGACATAAGCCATATAGATCTGTCATCTGTCACTCGCACTAGTTCCCCTTTTTCTATTAAGGATAGTGTTTCTTCTGCTACTTCTGGAATGAGTAAAAGTGCTAACAGAACTCCAACACATGCAAGTATTCCAGATACAAAGAATATTTCTTCCCACATATCACCATCTCCAGCCGTGGCATTTGAAGAGGAAGAGGAAACCACTACGAGTACCATTATCACTACAACTGTGACCACAACTGTGGCAATACCAGGTGACTATGAAATTGTAGGCATTAGCTGCATGCATTAGCAACAGAATCTATAAATTAAACACAGATGGGGCGCCTTTCCTGGTGCAGATCAATTTTATTTCGATAAACATGAAGTAAAAAGCAGGAAGGTACTCACAAAGGAGGAGTGTCACACAGTCATGTAAAATAAGCTGACAGGCGGTAAGCATCCACTGGACGGATCCTGTGTGATGGTGACGTAAACGTGTTTCCGGAGCACGCCCCCTTCATCAGAACGAAGTTGGCGTGCCCCGGAAACGCGTTAAAAAAGTTTGGGCTATACATACACTTTAACAACTGAAACATGGGATGCTAGGTTTTAGCTTAGAGGTCAATATATGTAATACAGTCACAAAATCGTGGTTCTCCAAAGTCTGGAAATAGCCTGACATGGGAGAACTTGCATAGTTAGAAACTGCCAAAAAGAATAAGTGCATTCATTTGTGTACACAGCTTGCCACCCACAGATTCTGGTGCTAACTGCTTGTAGGCCATGTTTAAATCCAGAGGAAGGAGATATATAGTGTGCACAGCATGCTTCAATCCCTTTATTGTGAGTGCGAACAGCAAGGTTGTTAAATGGCATGCGGTGTACAACCATTTTGCTTAGCCCTCAAATCTTTCCCAAGGTATCTGGAATGCTATAGACACGTTATTGTGAGCAAAAACAACAAGGCTTTTAAAAGCATCCATCCTGCAACCTTATTGAGTAGACACCCACTCTTTCTCAGGGCTCCTGGTTTCGGCGCTTAGATGGACAATTTTAAAAGCCTTGCTATGTTTTTGCTCACAGTTAAGTGATTGAAGTAAGTCGCTGGTGTCCTGTGTCTCCTCTCTTTTGATTTTAAAAAGAATATACTGTATGTAATTTTGATTATATGGACAGAAACGTAAGGAGGAATTGTTGTGCCTTGAACACAGAGCTTTACAGGAACGCCTCCCTTATGACATATTAAGAGATACTTACAACATATAACTAATAAAGGCCAATATTTTAAAATAAAAAATAAGTTATTAGTACCATGTAGCAAAAAATCTGCAATAAATCTGCACATACCACTGTCTCCTAAGCTCTAACCTACTTTGTTTGCACTTTTCTCAACTGCCTTTACTGCATCACCACTAGGTACATCTCTACTTGAGCAAGTAGTCTGGGGATGACAGAGATCAGGGTTGTTGTCAAGGTCTGGCTGCTGGGTCTCCATCCAGGTGCCCTGGGTCTCATGCCTGAAGTTACTATTGCCATGGAGAGTGATGGTTCTAACATTGTGTGTCTATAGGATCGTGGCGTCAAAGGCAGTAACTATCATTCTATCCAACAAGTGAACCGACATCCTTGTGCGCTACTCATTGTCTAGTGCTGGGCAGACAGTGTATTAGAAGCTTTCTGGCCGGTACTATGGGCCAAGCAACAGGTAGACAGTTTGTCTTTCTAGGGATGAGTTCACCTAGGGGTGAGCGTTACACCAGGTGTTTGTTGTAATGTTCCATACCTTTTCATCCGCAGTAGGGTGTCCTGAGTCTTCTAGGGTCCTAGCAATGACCTTTTACTGTATGTAAGCACCTGTTTTGTTTATTGCCTGTGTTGTAGAGAGTCAGAGTTACTGTGTTTAATGTGTGCATGAGCACTATGTTATATAACTTGGTATCTGGTTTTCTCTTTTTACAGAACCCTGTAGTAAAAATTTTACTGCTACCGAGGGTGTTCTACTGTCTCCTGTGCATAGAAATTATCAGTATATAACTGGATTAGACTGCAGTTACACAATCTATGTATATTCTGGATATGGAGTTGAAATTAAAGTAAGTACAATACCAGAATTCCAAATCAAATGGTAAAAAAATAACCTGTCAGGTGAAGATATTAATATCAACAGTAACTCTGTTTTAAATCTGTTTTATATATGTTTTTGATACTTTCACAGTATGAAATGTTATCTAACATGGTAAATATAGGCATTTGTTCACTTTGTTTTATGACCCAACTTCAGTTGTCCTATGCAAGCACATACAGTTGGGTGTATAGAGACAGCTGGAGACGGATCTTTGTTGTAACAGCAAGGTTACGCCGACAGATGAAGCCACCAACCTGCATGCCATACAAGTCCAAGGCTAAGCTTTTTGAAGCATCCTAAGCTTTCGTGTGTATTGGAAGAATGACCAATTCTCTAAAGTGTTGGCATGTGATGCTAGCGTTGTACACTGGTGAAACAATTTTTATTTATCATACTGTTGTATAACCATTACAAAAATATCAAAAATTTTGTCTTTTTACATTCAGATTTATGACTCAGTAGTAAAAGGCTGTTAGGCATTGGTAGTTCAGTGCCTGGAGTCGTCAGACAATGGTTTAAAGGGGCTTGAAGGGGAATATCTATCTTATTTCTACATGATTGGTAGCAAGGTAAATCACCTGTTGCTTCTAATATCTCTCGGAGTCTCAATTTGTTCGATATGTCTACCATAACTCCTTATTCTACCCAATCACCACAGCCTTCAAGAAGCCGAATTATGGTGTTCTGTTTTCCACAATGTAGAATAGCACCTGCCCAATCCACTTGGTGGAGACATGTACACTTGTGGGTAAATCTCTTAATTTAAGCCTTTAAGAGATATAATCCTCAAGTGCCCACAACAGATATAGATAGATAGATAGATAGATAGATAGATAGATAGATAGATAGATAGATAGATAGATAGATAGATGGATAGATTTGCTCTAGAAAGGGCTAGTACGTGCTGAAAAGGCTAAAATAAAGTTTTGCAGTGGAACTGAACATTGAGTATTAAAAAGGACTTTGTATGAATAAAGGAAGTCTGTAATTAAAGTCTTATGCTTGCACCGCTGACATTCTGTCACTTCAATAATACAGTAGTGGGCTGTAGCACCATGTGACAGGATTTGGTAGTCACTATAACAATCCAACCCACCTTCTTACAGCTGGTGTTCATAGCCTGCCGATTAATTAGAGCTTGGCAAGTGCAAAACAAAAAAGCAAGCAGGTCACATACAGACATGCACGGGTTGTGTAGCATGCAATTAGAGGCAGTTACCTGAAGCTCTAAATTACTGTGCATGTTAGAGCAGGAACTGAAATCTATTTTAAAATATATGTTATTAACATTATGAATGTTTATGAATAGCAGTATTAGCATTTATGAAGGCATTTACAATATGTGTTACAATATGGATATCCCTACATACTGTATCATGCATGATATTTTAAAAACGTCAAAGATGTGTTAGTATTTGAGGTGGTTGAAAACATAACTAAAGTTGTATCCCTACATACAATATTTGTACAATACAATATTTTGAAAAAGAGTTTATAATTATATATTATACATTTTTTAGATAAAAGTTAGCCTTGTTGTTCTGTAGAGTCATATACAGTACATGCATGTGGGGTCAGCACCAAGACTCAATATTAACAAATTGCAAAAACCTTGTCCTTTATTTTCTTAACACGTCTGTCAAACTTTGGCCATTTGTGGCTAAATTCAGCAAGAAAAATGGAAGGTGTAGGGGACATTGATATTTTTAATCAGGTAACATGAAACTATTTCTTCTTTGTTGAAGTCTCAGGGTCTGTGTTAACAGGCTTTTGTTTGCTTCAGGTGGGTTTTGCATTCCCATTTATTTCTTTGAAAATGTAAAACCCACTCAAGAAGTTCAAACACAGGTCAGAAGGAGGCCAACTGTAGGTCAATCGCACCTGTCAATGAAATCTGTATGATCTCAGATGCGTCTCAAACTTATACCATTGACACAAGCCCAAAGCCTGTCAACACAGGCCTTTAACTGAGTCCTACACATATGGCCAAGCACAACTTCTGTTGTGGAAAATGTTCAATGGTTTTAGTATATCCTCATAGCAGAGGTCAAGAACAGTGCATTGGTCAAATAAGATAAACTAAGAGTACCAACATTGGCGGCAGCTCTATAGGTGGGTTCTTTCTATTTAACTTTACTCAGAAACTCTTTAGCTAAAACGATGTGTGCCTATAGTACTTTATTGATAAGTAGAGAAAAGCAGGGCTTTTTACTGGGAGAACTAGCTTTGTGATTTTAACTGTATATAAGACATTTTATTAATTGTCCATTCATATTGTCTTTTGTGACTTGAATATTTGCTAGTAAGGCATCATAACAGTAAACTACGTGTAAAAGGAAACAAAGTGGGTCTAGTGTCAGATATATATTTGTTTCATGTTAAAGTGGCATGGGCACTTCAAAAAAAGTACCCTGTGAAAGAAGACTCAACTCTGGGGTGTTATTAAATTTACACATGCAGTGGGGGCCCATCCACACTGCATGGACTGAATGCTCATTTGGCTAGGGGGCAAATAATAAGTACAAATTCTTACCTTATTCCTCACACCCCTGGCAGACAGCATTCTCCTCCACTAGCCATTGGCCTGGAAGGGTAATGGGCTCTCACTGTCCTCCCGTACAATTGCTGGTCCTGCATTGTACACGATGATGTCAGAGAGCTGTGACCAGTCAGACAGTGAAGTGAAGTAGCTTCAGAGGGAGATGAGGAAGCTTGTGGAAGCAAGAAATAAGGTAAATATTTAAACTTTTTACTTCCCCCTAGCCAAACAAGAACTTGGCTCATACTACTCATTATTTTGGGGAAGTCCACCTACATCCACCTGCATCAATACATCCAGGACACAGCCTGGAGCTTTTCAAGAGAGCAAAGTAAATATAACGGGGTAAATATAAAGCTTCTTCTTTCAACGGGTGCTTTTGATTTCAGTTATTTCAGAAGTTACAGGGTTGCTTCAAGTGCAAAAATAACAAGCCAGGTGTAAGTGTCGCTTTCTTCCTGCAGTCTGTATATTAAAATTAACAATGCCCTGTGCTGGGGATACATTAATATACTTTGTCTCTTTATTAGTCACCCACTAACACTTTGTGTGACTGGTTGGTCTCAATCCCAGCTTCCACTGATCAATCCCTACTATGATCGGCAGCCAATCCAAGTGGTTCTGTCATAAGTATTTATTACAGCTATTTATATAGCGCCGACAATTTACACACCGCTTTACATAATTGCACATTTACATCAGTCCATGCCCTCAAGGAGCTTACAATCTAAGGTCCCCATCTCACATTCAGGGCCAATTTAGATAGGAGCCAATTAACCTACCAGCATGTCTTTGGAGTGTGGGTGGAAACCCACGCAAGCACAGTGAGAACATGCAAACTCCTTTGCAGATAGTGACCTGGCCAGGATTCAAACCAGGGACCCTCAGTGCTGCAAGGCAGAAGCGCTAACCACTACACCACTGTGCTGCCATAGCCTGGAGTATGCCATAGCCTGGAGTATGCCATAGCAGCCTGACATTGGCAATGTTCATCTGTTAAATACTGGAATGGTATGATACAGTTACAATATTAAAATATATATATTTTAAAAACAAATTGTGCATTTCTCAGCCTATAAAAAAAGAAAGAGCAGGGTTTTTTTTAAGCAGTGCAGTAATAATAACAAAAGTTTGCAGATTAGTCATAGAGTTTTTGTAACGTTAAGTGAGATATGCTGATACTGCTAGATTTGGCATGGGAATCTAGGCATCAATGAACTCACAAAGGGGTTAAGAAGCTGTGGGTGATTGAAGCGGTTAGAAATATCAGTTTTCCATGCACATTGATATAAAGATATCAAGAAGAGTGCATAAAAATATTGTTTTGCTGTCTTTTTAATGACTGATTCAGATGCATTCCTGTTGCTTTGAATACTTTATACAATTGTATCCCTGAGAGTTTAGTTAATCGCCCCTTATGGTCTCATTGTATTAGTTTCTATGGAGAAGCTGTGTCTGGCATAGTGCAGGCCGCCTAGGCTGCTTTTGTGTTCAGTTCCTGGCTCACAGGTTGGAGAGATGATGATATTTAAGAGAACACCTTCACTGCTCTTTCTGCATTTTGCTGTATTTAAAATGCTGCTATGGAGATCACTCATCCTTTTTAACAGAGAGGATAGAAATTGCCAGCGACGTGAGAAGGTTACTGAATAGCATACAGTGTTCTCTTGTATTGTCCTGCTATAGGAGCTGGAGGGGGCCAAAATGTTCTCTATAAACAAATGTTATTTTATCCCACTTTCTAAATGGTTTTACACTGTATAAAAAGTCATTTTGAGCAACTACAACTTCATCCACAGAAATATTAAAATGACCCTCAAACCTTTGAATAAGGATTTCAGTATGCAGCTGTTGCATATTTGAGAGCATGAGTAACGTAGTCATATACTGAGCTTTAAAAATCAAATTTAAATTCTAATACTGTTCTAATATGGTTGTGGTCTAATGTCTGGTATGGTTTAAGGAGCCATGCACTGGAGCACAGACTCTGCAGAGTCTGCAGCCAGAGTGAATTAAGACTGCTGACTTCAGGTTACACAGTCACAGTCCAAGCAATGTGATCTAACCTTGGCTTTATGTCACATGACCCAGAACCAGCAAGTGACTGGTTCTTGTTATAGTGGACAGGTACAACATTTGGATACTATAATACCCCTTCCCTCCGTCCCTAATAGTTTCCTGATTGTTTAATGTGGATCTGTATTCTGAGCTCAGTTTTGCTTTAATCACTGCCTTAGCATAAACATGTGGTCAGGCTATGGACATATACTGTAACAGACTTACCCGTCCTCGGTCCAGCGCTGCCTGGCGGGGCCGAGCACGGCCAGCTCGGCAGCCAGCTCCTCCCCTTCAGGGCCGTCCAGGACAGCAACTAGCTCCGCCTCTTCAGGGCCGTCCAAGACGGCATCCAGCTCCGCCCCTTCAGCTCC